TCATTATGTTATAAAAAAGGTTAAGCCGCTTCTGCTTCCTCCGCACCTGAAGGAGGGGTAGATTTGCCCTTTTATAAAGAGGTGACACAGAGTCCAGCCGTCTATAGCTAGAAAAAACAAAACGTAACGCACGCCGTTGAACTTGCTCCAGATTTGATATAAGATATTTAACATGCGGGTCCCAGACTTCACATCCGTATTCTAATAAAGGCCTTATTAGCATCTTGTATGCTGTGAGTTTTGTTTCTGGGGAAGCGAGTTTAAGAGTGCGCCTGATGTACCCTAATCTTTTGTTAGCTTTTCCGATTATATTGCTAACGTGCGGAGTCCAACTTAGGTTTGAGGCCATTGTAAGACCAAGGTATCTAAACTCTGACACTCGGCTTAAGGCTTTTCCCTGCAGCATATACATATACTCTAACGGCTGTCGTTTACGAGGGATCGTCATACATACTGTCTTGTCTAAGTTTATCGACATTTGCCACTTAACACACCATTCATTGATCTGAGACAAATATTCGTTTAGCATAATTTGATCATTAACGGACGTCACTTCAGTATAAATAATACAATCGTCGGCAAATAATCTGGCTTTTACAGGTGAATCTTGGATAAGGTCATTAACAAAAACCAAAAACAGCAGGGGACCCAGGACAGAACCCTGTGGAACACCCGAGTTCACATCACATTCGCCCGAGCTAACCCCATCAATACTTACAAACTGTCGACGATCATTTAGAAAGGCCTCAATCCACCGAACAATCTTATTATCTCCCAAGATGGAAATCAATTTAATTAAGAGCTTTCTATTATTAACTTTGTCGAACGCCTTCTTAAAGTCTAAAAATATGATGTCTGTTTGTCCCTTACGATCCGATCCCTCACAAAAATAATGCATGGTTTCTACTAGTTGCGTGACCGTTGACAGTCCCTTGCGGAAACCGTGCTGGTACTGGCTGAGAACGTTATTCGATAAAAGAAATTGCCGGATATGTTTAGAAACAATATGCTCAAGAACTTTGCACGATGTAGACGTTAGCGCGATAGGTCTATAATTGCATACTGACATAGCATCTCCACTTTTCAGTATTGGAATTATCTTACTGAGTTTCCAGTCATAGGGTACAGTGCTAGTCATAATCGACTTATTAAAAATTAAGTGCAGATACATTGCCGTCCACTCTGCATATCGCTTTAGAAAAGAATTTGGAATTTCGATTTGGAAGTTTTTAAGTCAAGCAACAGAGCCAAAATACCCTCAACTGACAGTTGCAGGTCATCATCAGCCCGTGGAATTTGAGCTGGTGATCTAAAATCTACAGACTGCTTATCGTCTTTTGTGAAGACGCTTGCAAAGAACTCGTTGAATTGAACTGCAATCTCTCGCTTGTCATTTATAATTCCTTGCTCCGTTTTGATCTCGGAAACTGACTTCCTAGCTGGTGCCAAATGCCTCCAAAACTTTTGCGGTGACTCACGGATAAACTTTTGCATTGTCACGTTATAAAACTTGCATTTAGATTCTTTTAGCACAGATCTCAGCGCCATGCTTAAAGCCGAGATATCATCCGATAACGCCGAACTAGGTGTACGACGACACCGCAATCTGCGCCGCCCTATTTTTCTTTTTAAGTGAATGGCTTCTCTCGTCCAAACTAACACTTGCCAAATTTTTTCATTAAGGTTTTTTTTCTTTTTTTTTATGAAGGTTTAAAAAAAAACAGGAAAAAATAATTTGGTGCAAATTCCGAAGTAGTGGAGAGAAAACAAAAAAAAAAAAACTCAAGTCAAATGGAGGTTGCTAACTCAAGTCAAACTCAACTCCGTGTCTTTTTCTTCGAATTAAAAGTTTTTGTTTGTTTGTTTGTTTTTGTTTTTCCCTAACTAGAGTCTCGGTGGTTACAGAAAATAATTAAATATCACCAGCTCGCCTACATACACGTTCACTGTATTTAGGACAAACATTTGTACAAAAAACATTGCGCTGTGGCTCGTCCCATGACTCACACACTCATATGCCAAACCATTATCTCGCTTGAAAATTATTAGATTCAACTTTCTTTGTACTTTTTTAAACGGTAGCAGTTAGCGAAATTTTAGGAGGGGTTTCGTTGGTTTTTTACGCCCTAAACTGTTTAAAACCGCAGTCCACTCTTCATGCTGTCATACATGATACAAAAGACAAGGGGTTTCCTGCGGACATGATATGGCACATCTGCGGTTTTTAGGTAGCATGTTTGCTTCATACTACAAAATTAATTGGGGGGGGGGGGGGGGGGGCTAGTTGGTTGAACATGTCTTTCTTTTCTCGTTTTTCACTTCCACCTTGTCGTTCTCTAGATGCTCTATGAAATTTGACAGTTGTAAGTAAGTGCTCTGTCCTGTCCCCTTCTTCTGTCCTTAGTCCTTCGCGCTTTTTAAACCACCGTCTTCATACATACTTCCAACATCTCTGGAGAGAGTTCGTGTATGCCCAACGTGACCGTCATACAAGAAACAAAAATGTATGGCAAACTGCTGGGCAATTGTGTTTCATACGGGAAGCGTTCTAGCGTCACGTGACATCAGGTCACGTGGCGTCAAGTTCCTCGCTAGATTTAGCGGGAAAACTGAACTGCAGGTGTGTAAATCACAGTGGGACGCTAATTTCCCGCTAAATTTAGCGGGCGAAATCGACGCCACGTGACCCAACTTCCGGTGACCCATACACCGATCCAACTTCCCCGTTAAATTTAGCGGAGAAACTGAATCGCTGTGTAAATCTTTGACGTCCCATAATGCAACACTGAGCGCGTTGCATCAAGGGACGTCACAGGCCTGGTGTCCTCGCGAATATGCGGCTTCGCGGAATGCGGCTTCACGAAATCCGCAGCAACTAGCCAAAGAACGTCGGTCGGGCACCAGTCACCTAGCTGTGTTTGGAAATCTTTTTGTTTGGCCTCTGTCCCCCTGGTTCCCTCTCTCCGGGAATTATTATCGTCTATCTTGTCCATCTCGCTCGCATCTTTGTACTCATTCCATCGTCATCATAACGTTCCACGTTAAAAAAAAAAACAAGTGGCAGACAGTGTTTGCAGACTGTTTTCTTTTTCTTTCTTCTTTTATACTAATAGTACGACCTCAGCTTAAGCCTCGTTCACACCGTTGCGTCGTCTGCGTTGCGCTTCGTTCCGTCGTGCAGCACAGCGCATCCCCATTGGCTCGGGGTCGTCATAGCAACAGCTCGACGCAACGAGTATGAACGCGGTCCGACGCAACGGTGTGAACGACCCTTGAGAGACATAGTAGCGAGCCACTGAGGGCCCTTGGACAAAGATTTCGGACCCGCCGACAGAAGATTCGTATAGGGCCGGCATCTTTGTCGAAATCTAGACTGACTACCCTAGCAAATATTGTGCTTTTGGTTATCATGACCAATGCATCAAGAGGAGGGGGTTGCAGGACTCTGAAGGAGTGCGATAAGTGTCGAGTGGAAAGCAACACTATATCAGCGGCGCAGCCGGGAATAAGCTTCGCAAAATGCTTTTCGTGCACAATGTATACTTGTGCGAGAAAAAAAAAAACACTCGCACTGCGAGCATTCTGAATTCAAGACTCTTCCAATACACGAAGTGCTTGCAAAGCAGGAAACTGTGTTCTCCCTTTAAGGAATACCGTATTTTGCCAGTGCCAAGTTGGTATACATCGAATTGCGGTAAAATGCATTCGAATCGGAATTTGCAGTCACAAAGTGATCGCAACGTTTGCTTCTAAGCGTTTCGGTAACCGTGAGATTTCCGCGATTTCTCGATGGTGGAGTGGATGGTCGTAAACTATAGTGTCTGACGCTTTGTAACGGGCGGTAACTTGCGCAACCTGGTGGCCAGGCGCGCCCAAGGTGGTGGCGGCGCGCACAGTTGCGATGAGTTTGGCCTTGATTGTGAACTATACTACAATATACATACAGGGCTTTTTTTTATTTTTATGTTTAGGCATATAACGCATTATGTAGCCAGAGCGACGGCTTTTTTTTTTTTTTTTTTTTTTTCTTGTTATTGGCGTTTTAGTATTAAACTGCCCGTTCAGGTAAGTTCTGCTGCGCTAGCGAGAGGCAATAAACACTTGCACCGTGCATATTGGAGCTTTACTAAGGTTGTTATTTACAGGTTATTGCCCACACACTCAGATAAACAGCAGCTATAGTTGGTGACTGCATGGTTGAGAGTTCGGGTTAACCTCCTGCCTCCCCTTCCCACGTTAGCAGAGCGAACGCTGGAGAGAAGATGACCTCGTCGCCAGCGTCACTCTGCTAGGGTGGAAAGAGGTGGGAGGGGCCTCCCCTGAATTCCTAATTTGTCACCAGCAATAGATCAGTACAGAAATGCGTTGCTCCCCAAACTGTTTTCTCGATACTTGATGAGCTAGAATCCCATGCACGGCACGCGGAAAAGCAAAAATCTAAAAAAAAGCCTGTTGATTTAACATTTTTGCGATTTAAAAACACAGGTAAATCACAAAAAAAAAAAAAAAAAATGTCCGCAGCAACATTGTTTTTGTTCTTATTTCTTTACGTCTTTTTTTTTTTTTTAATTACGAGCTAGACGGCTCTGTTTAAAGAAATTACAGTCAGTGCGCAGGCGAGCTGGTAAAAGTTTACCATTAATTGAGCCATAGTCTGCCCCTGTTCTTTATCTTGTACCGTAAAAAAAAAAAAGACTTTTTTTGGTTTGCGTCAATATTTGGTTAAGATCATCATGGTGTGCCTACAAGTTTCCCAAGGAAGGTTAAAAAAGTAACCGGAGCGATATGACATTACACAAGAAAAATTAAAAAAAAAAAACATAAATACAAAAGGTGCGCGCAAAAACATGGCGCAGATCAATTCGACTACAACCTCTGTCCACGACCGTCCAACCTCGAAGCCGAAACACGCCCTATAGGAAGACAAGTGGAACAGATAACTGCCGCCATCAGTTCGGTGGCGACGTTCCTAAAAACGGCGACTCCCGGGAGAAACCGACAGACAACAGTCTCCCGTAAGCCAACATCATTCAGCGCTTCCGCAACAACGAAGAAATCAGTACCGCTCTCGCAGGCCAAATAGAACGCCCCCCCTCTTCTCTTATCAGCACTAAAAAGACAACAAGGGGTGGCGCCTCGGACGCTTACGCGGGAATCCCCCCCATCCTGCATCACTCCCTCTTGAGACCGTAGGCTCACAGGCACGTAAAGGCGGTCGAGTCGACTGAAACACTTAAAAGACTGCTCCAAGGCATAAACAACGTGTCTCTCCGACATCACCCAATATGCCCAAGGTTTCGAAGGCACTCCACTGATACGGCATCCTGTTATCGACGTGTTCCGTATAGTTCTCTCCCCCGAAATCTCCGATTCAAACGTTTCCGAGATCTTCCCTTCTTTTGTTGCGCAGAACGTGCCGGGCACCGACTGAATCATGCTACGAAGATGGCGCGTCTTCTGCCTGGTATGTGGCCTCTGGATCACCGCCTGTCTGGTGGCGGCCTCCGAAGACAGGATGCTCGAAGACCTGGAGGAACCGGTGGACGTCCTAGGGACCAGGGACCTCCTCTTCAACCCCGAGAGACGGATCAACATCTTCGAAAGGCAGACGCTTCCGCTCCACATCACGGTGCTTCTTCAGGGAACGTCCGACAATGGGACGAGCGGTGTGGTCGTGAAGGTATCGGCTGCGGACACTAGCGTGGCGACCGTCTCAGACTCTCAAGAAGGAGTGGTGGTGCAGAACGGGACCGCCTACAACGTGTCCATCGAGGGTGTGTTTCTCGGCTACACCCACCTCAAATTCGAGGTAAGCCATCGTTCCCAATTACGCTTAGCCCCGAAGAAAGCTTCGAAGTGAACTCAGACCTACGTCCACAGGGTCTACGACGATGTTTAGTGGTATAATGTCAGTGGGATAAAAAGAAATTCTGTTATATACATATTTGGATAACGGGATGTCGACCAATACCGATGGGCATCTGGTGTCTCTGTTTTTTTTATGAAAAACAGCCTGTGCAGTACCTCTGCTAGCCTGAAAGGGGGGGGGGGGGGGGGGGGGGTGTTGTGTGTATGTTTATACCGCCTAGACCTTGGTCTGCCTCAACGGGCGACGAGTCTCCCGGCTGTAGATGAGAAATTTAGCCGGTGCAGTACAACCGCTAGCCTGGGGTCTTTAACGTGCACCACGCAGTACTGATACACGACCGCACGCCGGACGATGCTCATCCAGATCGAAACGGGCAGGGGCGGGGATTGAACCCAGGATCCCTGGGTTAGCTAGCCTGGGGTCTTTAACGGCCATCACGCAATAGTGGCACACGAACGCACGTCCGTACAGTGCTCACCTAGATCGAAGCCGGCGGAAGTGGGCATTGAACGCAGGATCCCTGAAATCAGTGGGGTGGCATAGACTCGTTTTATTTATTTTTTCAAAAGACTGATTTTACGAAAGGCGCGACATTTATGACCTCGTTCTTCCTTGTTCCTCCTACCTTAATTCCGCCGTCGCACTCGTAATACATCGTACAAAAGGCAGCCTGCAAACATTGTCTGGGGCGGGGTAAGCAAATTGGCGGAGAAAAGAAAGCATACTTTTGGTTCTTTACTTGTACGCTAGGGAGCGCAAGCTACCACCAGACATGAATGGTACAGCCTTTCATCCATCCATCCGTCTTCCTATGGCGCTTCTGTCTCATGGGTCATGTAAAAGCCTGTCAGCAGTGTGTTCGAAGTATGTCTGAAATATGCTTTCGACATTCCTGAAGCGCGTCGGCAGATGATTCTGTAATCTTGTCTATAGCGAACGCCGCGTCATTTGTACGATGTGTGAGACGCGTGATTGCGGCTTTAGCGTGGCGTTACGAAAGAGCCACTCGAAACTCGCGGCCGCGACGGTGACTCTTGGAGGAAGAGGAGCGCATTGTGGACAGTTTCGTATCGCTCCGAGGAGAGCGGCACTTGATAACGAAGTTCAATTCAATTGGCGTTCACTGACCGACGACCGCCGTCTCGTTTACTCACTCGGAAGAACGTCTTTCCTATCTTTCACGATGCTGGAAACCTAAAATCGCGTGCGAATCACTGATTTTTTTTTTTTTTTTTTCGAAGCCCTCGTAAACATGTTTTTTTATAGCGCCCCACTTTCCGAAAGAACGGACACAGTTTTAGCGCGTCTGTCTGTTAGAATCGCTGTGTTTGTGTCTCGTATACCCTCAACATTGTGGCGAGAGTTAAATTCACTCTCTCGTCATGACCGAGCGCGCTCGTTCTGTCGAATGGCCAGGTCTACATCCATCTGTCGGCCTGCTCTAGGTGTAAAACCTTATTCGCTAGGTGTAATCAAAACATTCCGTGCCCTCGGTATCTTCGGAAATACTAATATCTGTTTTGTTTTTGTTTTTCGTGCGCCGATATTGGTATATTGGGTCCTCGCGCTGGGGAGGGGGGGGGGGGGGGGGGGGAGCACTAGCAAGCAGCATGCCTTGACGCGCGCGGCCGTAGTGGTATCGTGCGCTCCAAAACAGATTCCTTGTAAGCGCCTTATTAATAGGGAGCCTTTGTAGACCGTAGGAAAGAGCTTTGCGTCGCCAGCGTACGCTCGTACCGTCACTTGTGCCTTTGCGCCATTCGTTTTTAGTTCATTCGCGCAGAAAGCTGTGCCCTGGAATACTGGCCTCTTTTGAAGTGTCTGAATTTTCTTGAGAATCGAACAAACGTGTTCCGTGATAAATTACACGAACGTGTTGCGATCCTGAAAAAGATTTAAAAAAATAAAGTAGCAGTCTGACGCGCCAACATTTTGCAAGTGTAAAGTATTTCAACGTAGCTTACGACGGCATACTTTAGGGAGCGAAACAAAAATGATTTTGCAGAACTTTCGCCTTCTAATAAAATAATTGTAACGACTTTTCTTTTTTTTTTTTTTTTTCTCATCGCGTAGGCTGAGCAGGCTAGAGTTCTACATAAACACCTCAGTGTGGTGGAAACAAAGCTACGTGTTTCTTTCGCGTGAGGTTTGAGTGTGGGGGCCTGCAAATTTAGGGGTTCGAATAGAAAAGTGCACTGTCATCTCTAGGCTCAACGCTTAAAAAAACAAAACAAAAAAAGTTGTGTCCTCGCCTTGCCCTGTGAATACTATGAATGACACAGCGCTAACCGATTGGACCGCTATTCGCACATCTTCCTCGAGTGACCTCTAACTCGGAAGGTAAATCCAAAGAAACTGAAGGCCGGTTCAGACAGTTGCGTTTGAGTGCGTTTGACTGCGGTGCGTCGAGAACGAAAAGCGAGTCACCGGAACATCTGTGCTTCATATGAAGCGTAGACTCCAATTCAAGGAATCATCTTGCCACGTGATATAAGCAGCAGGGATGTCCTGGTTTTTTGCAGCCGCAACGCAGTCAAACGTAACTGTCTGAACCAGGCTTGATTCTTGTTAACTCGCGGTCGTATATATAATGAAACAAATTAATCATTTTAGTGAAGGATAGTTAATAAAGATTTGTGAATACGGATTAAAATTAAAAATCACGGCGTCACTCATAACCTTCACAGTGGAAAGGAAAAGCATGACAACTGTTTTTTTAAGTGTTAAAGCTATATGGATGACGCTGCGCCACTTGATTCAAACTGGTATTTGCACTTTTCTAATCTTTACATCACTTCATGGGGCTTTTCTTGGTGTGGCAAAATCGCGAAATGCATACAACTGCGATTGAATCATGTGTGCGTGTGACTACTAATCTACCGCATGCAAAATAGTTATCCCTTAGTAATCGTGCCATCTAGGTCATCTATGTTGGTCAGAATCACTTCCGAGTACTTGTGCATTAGTGCAAACTCGTATCCTGTTCGCATTATGCTCATTAAGACTGGTAACTGTCTTCTGCCAATCCCCAGATCTGCAGCCCAGATGACATTGGAGGAGCCAACTGTACCAGGCTGAGGTACGTGGTGGCGGTCTTGAGGGACCCCTCCCTGCTGCAGAGGATATTCCCTTACTTGATCGGCTTCATGGTTTCCGTCAACTACATCAACATGGGCTGCCAGATCGATCTCATGGTCGTCCTGGAGGTGCTCAAGAAGCCCATCCCGCCCATCTTGGGCATCGCCTGCCAGTTCATCTTCATGCCCCTGGTAGGAACCAAGCACGTCCTTCCCGACAACTGTTTCACTGCACGCGGATTGTTAACAGACAATGCGTTTTATCGGCCGAACTCCACGAGAAAGCTTCCACGAAGAACTCCCGCTAAATTTATCGGGGACATTACTGTGACAAGACGTTAACTTGGCTGCTAAATTCAGCTGGAAAATTTGCATCATGTAGCCTGAAGCCACATCCATGTCATGTTACCTCAAGTCGGTGACGTCATTTTCAGCGAGGTGGTAGATTGCGCTCAACACATTCTGGGCAGCCTAGTCTGTCAGTTTGACAAAACTTGCGTTTATTTACTTATTTTTATTATAAACAAATAAATACTCTTAATTGTTTCTGGACGGAGGTGCTGGGATATTCTAACGTTGAAAAATCGTGTCCTTCAGAAGCGAACATTAAAATGATTCGACACATATTCTCGAGCACTGAGAAAATATCGAACCTTTACCGGTGATTGGCCCATTGTGCGGCGTTTTTTGTTTCAATGATTATATACCCTTCGGCGCCGGAGTTAATATGCGTAAATCAATCAATTTATTGTACATATTTTTATAAAGCCGTACTTACTACTTGCCTAAGTATGTGCGTTCGTTGTATTCTAGAAGTTTTATTTCAAAATCTACTAAAAAAATGTTCCCAACCTTAGCTTTACACACACAACAGAAAAAGGTAAGTAATACACACTACGTACACCGATAATGTAGCCTGTGCGCTGGACATGGCACACGGGGCCACTACTCTGAAAATGTCCATTCAGGTTGGATAACTTCCGTGCTGAGCCAACACCACCCAGCGAAGAATAGCTATTGGCCGAAGCTGCGCTTGTCGACGACTGACGTTCCAACGCCTGTCGCAGGTTTCCTACGGCATCGGCTTGTTGCTGCTTCCGAACGCGCTGATGAGGTTCGGCATATTCATGCTTGGCTGTTCCCCTGGCGGCAACTCGAGCAACTTGTGGACACTCATGTTCGACGGTGACGTCACGCTCAGCATCACCATGACCTTCATCAGCACCATCGCCAGCGTCGGTGAGTCGGAAGCTGGAAGTTAAGATATGGCGAAAGCTACCCCCCGATATCAAGAGTTCAGCCACTGCTGTTCACCTGACCCACTACATTAGCTACGCTTTTGGTCCCCAGTGCATAGTGGACGCTATAGATTAAGTGGGGACGTCTCAGTAGATTTCCCGCCCAATGCTTTTTTTTTGTGCTTAAAGTTCGTGCTATCCAATGTGACTCGGCTAAAGCGCGTAGACTTGGATAAAGCTTAGACGTCATTTCAGCGCACAAGTCACGCGCTAGATGGCGCAAGCTACCTACCGTTGCAAAGGGCATAGCCAGTAACGTCCATTTATTCATCCACCATGGCTAAAATGTTATTACTCTAAGTCTAAAGCAACCTTTTTTTTTTCTACGGAGGTGTGTGTGTGTGTGTGGGGGGGGGGTCGACTTTATACTGTCCATTTGTCCATCCATCCATACGCGCCCAGCTCGTTTGGACCGCACAAGATCGGAAGTTGGCTTTCCTCCCATGGGTTGCGAACCGGCGTGCTCACTTTAGAAAACGTTATCGTTTGAGCTGTGTGATAGTGATTAGCAAACTATCTAAGCAGCCTTTTTCCAGACCGACGCGGTCGTTTCCATGCATCGCCAACACGTGCGGTACCGAACTCGTCAAACAAAACTCTTACAAGGTTCAGTCGCAGGTCGTTGACTACAACGCGCATAGATTATTGCTGCCGCCGAGTGAAGCGGAAAACAGCTTTGTCCGGACAAAGGGAACGAGCGAGTGAGGATACACGAGAGCGAAGTTCGTTATGGGGGGAGGGGGCAACTCAAACCATGGAGATCGTCTGCAGTGCGGAGATTAAGTCGTCTGCATACTTTCTGTGCCGGACTAGTAGCGGTGACGTCAGAACGACGACGAGCTTTGATTGGCTTGGTTTGAAAGCATAGTGGACAGTTGGAAACGGTCTTAATCTACGCACACAGTAAAGGAGATCCAGCCGTCGTGCCCCGGCGGCGAAGTCGAGAACTAAACCCATGAAGACCGGTATACAGCGCTCGTCTGACGTTGTCGACCTCTCCGTCAGCGTTCAAGTTGTGCTCGCTTTAATGTGCGATGCACCAATGGAACGCGAGTGCCACCAGAACACTGACGCAGCACTCTCGTACAATCTTCGCCCCCGTGTTCCATCGAAGAGGATGGCGCAAAGAATCCATTCTGATGTTCCCAGTCGGGGGCCTTCTGTGTTGGGTCAACAACAAGCTTTATGGAAAACAAGCTAGACAAACGCCCCTTACAAATGGCTTGCACGTGATGTCATCCGCCCGTGCTGGTGGCCATTTCTGTTAGCTCTTGCCGAGGAAAACAAATTTGATGGTGCGAAGTGTATGCTGTGTATACAACGTACGCGCTTGACAGCCAGGCCACCACGATCGCCCCTGTCATGACGTCGGTGCAAGCCGTCTATAGTTCATCCTCCTCATCAACGATTATGTACCCTTATCGTGACTAGTTGTCGCCGGCCTAGAAAATTACGCCAGCCAAGCGAATAGAAACAAGGCGAGCGCAAATCAAACCCCAAACAGGAGATATGGTATATCGAGTGTTTGCCAGGGACCCTCGATGTCACACTTTCGAATCCTTGGTCCTTGCCGTATCATGCCCCCGACTGGGAACATATGTTGGTGAATTTACTACTTGTTATCACGTGGAGACTTCGACCATATCTCATTTAATTTCAGTGGTACTGGCCATTAATCCGCGTGTCATTTAAATTGGTTCACTTGGTTTCGTTTGATCGATCTTGTCACATTTCTCTAGACTTATGGTGGCATCACGCATGCGTCGAACACTAGAAGAGTTCCGCCAATTAAGAAGATAAGTCGTTTATAATTCAGGGATTTTAATAAAATAATGAACAGTACAGAGGGCACGTCTTCAAACTGGTAGAAATACCTGCAGTTTTGACAGTCTGAAGTACGAAACAGTAATTGTTTCTTTTTTTATTTTTTTCCTGCGACGTAATCAAGTAGTCGAATGTAATACTTTTTAACCAGTCTTGTACACGTTACTCGAGAAAGTAACATATTACAATTACAATTACTCTCGATTGAAAAGTATTTAATTAAATTATTCGATTACCTTAGAAGAAAAGTAATTCGTCGTTACTTGAAAACGTAACTGGTACTTTTTTCGATCACTTTAAATTTTCAAAAAAATAGTTTTTTTTTTTTCAGGTTTGAAAACTGAATTTTCGTACTGTCCATTATTTGAATTAAATCTCCGAATTGTCAACTGCTTCTCCTCTTAACCCACCAAGTTTGCTAAGCCGTCCTCCTGTCGGAGGCTTAGTTTGAAAATTTCTTGGTAGGAAACTTGTAGAAACAACGGGTGCCATTAGATGTAATCTGTTACTTTTTTTTTTTTCGAGTAAAGTGTACAAGATTGGTTAGCGCATCGCAGCACCGAATACGTGGAGCGTAAGCTCGCGCTGCCGAACCCAGAGGTCCTGGGTTTGATCCCTATCCTGCCCGTTTCGATCGTGGTGAGCATCCTACCGGCGCTCAATCTCGTATCACTATGGTGCCTGGATCGCGTCTTTGACTGGTGTGTTTACCGCGGCCAAAAAAGTGGTCCCTCGATTTCCGCCTGATGACGTCATAAAAGTGTCATGCTGTCGCCGGTCGCGACCCTGGCGGTGTCCCAACAGTTATGGTGTATGTAGCAGATGCCTGTTCTGCTGCAGGTCGCTTTCCACTGTGACAGTTCACGGAAGCTTGTGCAGCCGGAAGTTGGGACACCTAACGGGACGCCGTGACGACAGCGACACTCGCGTTCGCTCGTGCTTTTCGCAAGCATTTCCACGGCCATCCGCCAGGATCGCGACAGGCAACAGCATGACACTCGTGTCATTTGTTGCCACATCGGGACCACTTTTGATGTATGGGCGGGATAGGACGCTAAACACACCAGTCGAAGACGCGATCCAGGCACCATAGTATCACTACTACGCCGTGCACAGTGATGACCCCACCCAGGCAAGCGTCATTACCGCACTGGCTAAATTCCTCGTGTACGACGGTTGTTGTTGGTAGCAATGTAAAGGTAGAAACGTGGAGGAGATCGGGAAACAGTAGACGCCCACTGAGCCGCCTCGGTCCGTGGCTCAGGGGGCAAAGCGCCGGCCCACGGATTCCCACTTGGCGGGTTTGCATCCCGACCGAGGTGAATGTCCTCAGTATCTGAGGGAGGCTTATTAGGTGCCGTGTAGCCGCGGATTTCGGATCAACGTCAAATTATCTCCTGGTGGCCGAGAATTCATTTTCAGTCCTTCACTGGACCGTGCCAGAATTCCTACAATTGAAAAAGGCCCTAAAATTTGATCAGACGCCCCTATTGGGGTTGGCCAACTTTCCACACAGAAGCAAACATTAAAGGGGCGGTGCAACGATTTTATGATTAAAATAATTTGCATCTCGTCATTTTTACGTTGTTTATCGTGTCCCGGAGAATAGAGAAAACACTTTCTTAAATAAAAATGTCGCGATTCCGCTGCTTAGTCGCAAAGCAAAGGTCGAGCTTCTCCCCCCGCCTGCAGCCCCAAGTGGCAGCCGAAGGAACTACGACGGAAAGATTACGTGACCTCGCTCGGCTCTAAGCCGCAGCATAACGCCCGCTAATGCACGCAGAGAGAGGGAGGGGAAGCGTCCTCCGGGATAGCACAAGGGAAGCTACACGGCACTCCGAATGACGTCACTGGGAGTGCGACCAGGTGTGACCCTGAAGGCTGGGAGTGAGTTGAGGGGTGCCCGAAATACCAATCTTTATCGTTTTTTTACGCAAAAACTAGGACACGCAGGCGAAATCGGTTTTCTGTTCTTTACTTCAGAAGTGTCTGGGGGCAACTTCCAGAAATCTTTGACCGAAGTCCGAAAATCATTGCACCGCCCCTTTAAAGGGGTTATGACACGCCAAAAATAAAATATTACATAACCATACTGCTAGGACCCATTGTAGGTTCCTGTAATTCTGCTAAATTTGTTTTGAAAAAGGCGCGATAATTACGTGGATAAATCGATTTATATGCGGGCCCCTCGGAGGGGCAGATCCGGGCGGACCTGGAGGCTGATGACGTAGCCAGCCTCCAGCGTGGTGTCTACTTGCACGCACTCACAGACTTGGCTCTCTTGGCGTATCGAGCCTCAGCTTCCTCGTTTACCTTCCACGTTTCCAGCATCCGGTCTGTGACGATTACGTCTACGGCATCGATCGCCTTGTCGAAGTGTTCGACATTGATCGCAGCAGCGATGAGAGTGATTGCTATCAAGAGATGTTGGAAGCTGTTCATTTTGACTGCGACCCGCTGGCGACCACCTCCAGCGACGACGAGTTCGCCGTGGTCACCGTCGTCCGGGAATGTCTCGCAGGCGCATGTAGGGTGGAAGGTCAACCGTCCGGGGGGCGAGAGCGAGAATAGCTTTCAGTTTACCGAGCTGTTTGAGCGGTTTTGTTCGTACCGCGACGAGAAGAACTTTGGCGATCATGGGGGCGCCTAAAATGAGAGAGTGTTCATGGTCACGTGGTCTATGGACACCATGGTGTGACTAACTTGAGCAGTGTTGCCTGGTCGCCAGATGGAAATTATAAAAATTCGTAAATTGAATATTGCAATTATCACAGCTCTAAAAATAGCGTAACTTGGTGTACATACTAAGTAGCCTATGAGCATTCCATTTCAAGAATAATCTATCCGTTTAATTTTCGTGTCATAACCCCTTTAAGGCGTGTTCGCAAATACTTGTCGTCATGTCTGCAGGGACCAACACCGTATCTATTGTACAACCTACGACATTGCAACTTGCTGCACAATCGGAATACGAGCCGAAAAAAAAAAAAAGTATTCGGTGCGTCACGCTCGCAGGCATGATGACAAGTCTAGCAAAAGGTTGGCACCAAAGAACAAGTAGAAGACTGGACAGTTTGACCAACTCTAGCCGGACAATTTGTGCTCGTTGTCCCAGGTATGATGCCCCTGTGGATCTTCCTGCTGGGTCGCCACATGTCACCGGAGACCGGCAGCCTGCAGATCCCGTTCGCCAACATCGTGGCGAGCCTGGTGGGGCTCGTCGTGCCGCTGGCCATCGGCATGCTCATCTGGCGCTTCAAGCCCAAGTGGGCCCAGAAGGCCCAGAAGTGCATCAAGCCGCTCACCCTCGTCGTGCTCATCGTCATCCTCGTGCTTAGCGTCACCGTCAACCAGTGAGTGCGCCATTCTTTGCACGAGCTCTAACCACCTTTTGTTTTGTAGCGTGAGCTACACTGGCCGAGGTTGAGCAGTTTCGCGTGGCTCGCATAATGAGCCGAGCTCCGTGCTGCGCATGCGCGAGGAGCAGTGCCGTCACACGGCACACAGCCGGAGCCGCCGCCACCGCCGCGCCCGCCTCGCCGGTCTGCGCATTCCAGAGGAGTGACGTCATAGCCGCGGCAGACGCACTGGCGCCGCCGCGTGCCCAGCTGTGCCGGAGCCAAGTCTGACGCTGCACCGGAGCCGCTTGATAGCGCCTCTCATTTTGTGGGCATAAGCTCACGCTGCGTATATCCTGGCGTAGCCGAGCTAAGCCACCGTATTTTTTTTTTTGTGCGTATGCACTCAACGAATGTCTGTGCGTCTGTCAGTCACGAACGTAATGCAATAAGCTTTAGTTGAAAATGAGCGGACTATAAATCTCGTCTGAGATTGTGTTGGCGGAAGCCATGACTTGTGAGATACCATTGCAACTCTAGTAAAGAAAAGGCAAAACTTCTAAACATAGTTCCTTTTTGCTTGTATATTTTGCGAAAATACCCCTCTGTATACATATTGAAGCTTCGGGGGTGAATTTAGGACGTACGCAAAAAGAAAACTTCGAGAAACTACTTAACTTTTGGCACCTTTTGATGTCTAGGACTTGCCAACAAACCCCCGGTCGGGGGTTTTACTTCAGCTGTTGATTGTGGTTCATTTATTTCTCCAAATCCTTGAGGCACGTGTAACTGAGATTTTGCTGCAAGTTAAAGGTCTCGTCTAAATTATCTATGAATTCATCGTTAAAGGTTGCGACATGTCCATCGTTGGTGCCCAATATATTTAATATCAGTCTCCGATTTTTTTTTATCATCCCTGTAAATTTTGTATGACATGGAATACGAAAATCCCAATCGGCATTTTAACGTTATATCTTCGCTTTTGTAACCCGTTCCTACGCGCTGTTTTTCTCGATGTCCGAATCCCCAGGTACATCTTCCTGCTGATGACATGGAAGAGCTTTCTCTGCGGCGCTCTCATCTCCTGGAGCGCGTACGCATTCGGCGCCTTCGCCGCCTTCTTGGGCCGCCTGAACCGCGCCCAGATCATCGCCGTCTCCATCGAGATCGCCTTCCAGAACAGCGGCATCGCCGTGGTCGTCCTCTTTACGTCCCTGCACCAGCCGGACGCCGACCTGGTCATCGTGCCCGTCGTCTGCCAGGCCATTCTCCAAGGCATCCCGCTCTACCTGCTCTACATCGTGCTCCGGCTCAGGAAGTGCGTGCTCAACCGGATGCATCCCGACGAGAAGGTTGAACCCGTGCCGGTTTGCGAGGCCGAGCTCGGGGAGATGTGCAAGGTCTCGGCCAACGGTAGGCCTAACGAGAACCTGGAGGCCAACGGTGTGCTTGTCGATGACTACAAGTCCAAACTCTGAACGTGTGCTCGGTCCGACGTTAGAACTTTCGCGGCAAAATTTCGGATGCTCTTCGGAACTCCTGTGTCCGATGCACATGTTGTAGTCCCATTTCAGCTATCAACGGCAACAATAGAAAAACTACTGCAGCATGAACGCGAAGGTATCTTTGGCGGCAGGCTTGTAATCTCTCCGCGACCTTGGCGTAAGTATGAGAGATTACAAGCCCGTCAAAGGTATCTCTGCTCGCATTCTGCGCGTGTTTGAGATTGATTGGTCAGTGTCCGTTGTTGCTCGTTGAAGTCGCAATGCACTCCAAACGCCAGTCATTGTGATCTCTGCAATGAGCTCAGCCGAGGGCGACATTGATCGCCTTTAGATTACAAGTTGCCGGCAACCTAAGGGACAGAGATTCTGGCGTCTGTCACGAGGGGTTCTTTTTCCGTTCCCGGTGCACCCTCATTGGTCAAATTTTTAAACGTGTGGCAATGATTGGCCGATGACGGGTATGGCGAAGAAGCGAATGTGCGAGCACATATGTCTGTTAGTCTCTTTGTTATGGAAAAGGTGGGACTGCCACAGGGTTTACCCCTGTCCGCGATCTTATTTCCGCCACTCCAAGGGGAAGCTCATGCATGGATTTATGTTCGATGTGCCGCACGAACTGTTTATAATTTTAGACATCGTGAGCAATTTGGTTTTGTTTTTAGCGCATTTATTATTGTTCTTTTTTATGTCGCCTTGTTCTTTACACGGGCACCGCGGAATGTTGTTTTTTGTTCGAGAACACTCTTTCTAGGTTTCGTTTCTCTTGGTTATTTTAACGGTATTGTACTATTTTAAAAGAAACGAAAACAAAGCACGGTTTTAATCCGTGTAAACTATAAATTGTGTCAAGGCGCGCTTTTCAAAAATTGTTGTCTAGCAGAGCGAGTCTGAAAGTTACCACGACTGTGCTTCTTATCTGCCGCGTCTTTACTTCGATCTTTAAATTGTTGTACATATTAAAAGATTTTTTTTTTTTTTCGAACGAGATGTTTGTTGAAAGAACGACGCATGTGCGAAATGTTGAATGTTTTGTGGTGCGCGACTTTAATTAATGTATTAATTTTTTTAATAAATTGTTCATTTCACGAAACTCGTGAGAAGCTTCTTTGCTTTCACAATACTATTTTACTATATTTGCTGCGTAGGCGCATGTTTCTTCTCGAGTTTATACATGTAACGTGAACGTTCTTCTGCAATGACAAAAGCAATTACCCGTCACCTTTATAGCATTATTTGGTCATGCTAACATTTCCTAACGTACCAAAACCTAATGTCTGAAGAAGAAAAAGTTGATTGGAAGATTGAAAGCCGTTTACAACTCCCTGTAACACCGAATGGACTTCTTCCAAAACCGACGCGCCCCAACGCGGCGAAATACCACGCAGTGCACTCTGGGAACTAGTTGGCCACTCAGTTTCGGTTTCGACTGAGCAGCTTCATCTCATGCTATCACGCCACGACCGAACGCGCTGCTTGCGTTTTCGATTAATCTGACTTTTCACGAACGTACAATACACTCATTCTCGAGCGATACAAAACGAAGACCGGGGCACTTTCCTTGGTCCCCGAAACACCGGATATTGTGCGTGCGTATGCAAACGTAGTAAGTCGTTTCTTAGTCACCTCACCCCACGAGTGCATGTCCGAGCTCAATTTCAATAATCCCGTCTAGTACCAGTCAAATAGAACTGAAATTTGTTCATCTGGAGCGTTACACGTATTTTTTTTTTGCCAAACGTCCGCTTCTTACTTCATTGGGCGAAAAGCAAGCCGCATCCTTACAGGGTATCAAAGTTGAGCCCAGCGTTTACGCATGAACTTTTAAGGAAACGCAATAAATTCGACCTCACTACTGAACAAAAGTTACTATGATGTCTTCCTCGTGTCATCACATAACTCACACTCAAATTTTATGCTGATAGAAGATTAACTTTTCGCAAACGCTGAGATCGGCTAGCTACGATAGAGGCCCTAACAAACGTCCCCTACTCCTCGCTAAGCCTCTTTGGACGAGCTTTTACTGACGCCCAAGATCTGTGCCTGAACGGTGTGTCTGAAATTATCTCGGCATACTCAGGCAGGAAGAAAGCAAACACATAACAAATATTATGGCCATTAGCAACCGTCAAATGCGCTTTGAATTCTTTCGTTTGGCGCACTGCATAGGGGTTCATGCCCGTCCGGCGCACTTCCGGTGAACGGTGCGACATTCTTCACACAAGTGCTCGACTTTTGCTTTCTTAAAACGGTCTGTATGTGCGAATTTGCCTTTATGATTGCAGGATAACTTTATGCGCATACGCGATGTTGAATATAAGTGGAATGGAAGCGGGTGGGGACCACTTTGTACAGTGCTGCGGGTCACTACAGATAAGAGATAAGAAGTGTGTTAAAATTGAGCTTTTCAATGGCGCCTCCGAGTTTTACCTCGCATACTCAGGCATATAAAGAAAACCAGTAATTGCAAAAAGTAATATTTCGTCTATGGGCGCACGAAAAAAAAAAAAAAACTTCCTGATAAACAGCACTAATGTAAAGGCGCGAGCTCGATGTATGCATACTTATTGGTTGCCACAGCTTGTTCATTCGCGCACAAGCAAGATCCCCGAGCTTCGCAGCGTCGAGACTCCCAGCACTGGCTCGTCCAGATACCTCGATTGGAACGCTAACAGGAAGGCTCAAGTACAAAAATACAACAAGAGTCTGTTAAGACAAGCTATACGTCTCAGGCTTGTGCTAAAGCTTCGAGGTCTGGCCATTTAGGTTAGTTTAGAGACCAAAAATGACGCGCTCGGGACCAGAAAACATGAGAACACGCTGTGTGTATAATCTATTGTCGACGTGTCGATCGAAACCGAAACCGTGCCACCCTCCTCCCTGGCCAACTAGTTCCCAGAGTGCAACGCGCGCCGTGTTGCATGCAGGGCTTTATGGAAGTAGTCTATTGGAGCGCAGCTCTTGAGGAGGAGGAGGGAAGGGTACTGAGGATTACCTGTTCTCGGGGCGGGGGGGGGGGGGGGGGGGGGGGGGGGTGTCATGTGACCTGGGAAGTCACGTGACCCCCAGAAAAATTTTTCCGCTAGATTTAGCGGTGAATTTTTTCCGCTAGATTTAGCGGGGAAATTTTTCCGCTAGGTTTAACGGGAAAATTTTTCCGCTAGACTTAGCGGGGAATTTTTTCCGCTAAATCTAGCGGGGAAATTTTTCCGCTAGATTTAGCGGGGAATTTTATCCGCCTGATTTAGCGTGAAAATTTTTCCGCTAGATTTAGCGGGTTAATTTTTCCGCTAGATTTAGCGGGGCATTTTTCCTGCTAGATTTAGCGGAGAAATTTTCCCGCTAATTTTTCCGCTAGATTTAGCGGGAAATTTTCCCGCTAGATTTAGCGGGGAATTTTTTCCGCTAAATCTAGCGGGGGAAATTTTTCCGCTAGATTTAGCGGGGAAATTTTTCCGCTAAATTTCCGCTAGATTTAGCGGGGAATATTTTCCGCTAGATTTAGCGGGGAAATTCCGCTACATTTAGCGGGGAATTTTTCCCGCTAGATTTAGCGGGGAATTTTTCGCGCTAAATCTAGCAGGGAAATTTTTACGCTAGATTTAGCGGAGAAATTTTTCCGCTAAATCTAGCGGGGAAATTTTTCCGCTAGGATTTAGCGGGGAAATTTACCCATAATGCACCGCGCGGTTACGCCGACGGTGACGGCGACGCCGCTCAAGCCGGAAACGGGCCCCTAAGAGCTGCGTTCTAAAAGTAAGCCGTTTACAACTAACTTCCTGTAACACCGAATTAGAGCTCAGCTCTTCAGGAGGTGGAGGGACGGGTACTGAGGGGGGAGTCATGTGACCTCGGGGGGGGGGGGGGGGGGGGGGAGTCACGTGATCTGGGGGGGGGGGGGGTCACTTGACATAAGGGGGTGTCACGTGACCCCCCCTCCCCGAGGTCACCGAAGGTGCCCGAGGTCCTCCCGAGGTCCTCGGGGGGGGGGGGGGGGGGGGGGCGGGGGGGGGGGGGGAGGGGGGGGGCGGTTACGCCGACGCCGCTCAAGCCGGAAACGGGTACCTAAGAGCTGTGCTCCTAAAATAAAAAGCACTTACAATCCTCTAATTCCGCTCAGCTCTTCAGGAGGAGGAGGAAAGGGCCACGTGTGACGTCACGCAACGTCACACGTGACATCAGACGTGCCGTCACGTGTGATGCTACGAGGGTAAAATTTAGCAGAAAAATTTCCCGCCATATTTAGTGGGAAAATTTTGCCCTCGTGACGTCACACGTGACGTCACCTGTGACGTCCTTATAGGAAACGTTCCATAATGCAACGCGCGGCTACGCCGACGGCGACGCCGCTCAAGCCGGAAACTGGCGCCTAAGAGCTGAGCTCTAAAGAAGTAACTCCGAATGTGCACCTTCCCAACGCTAATCTGGGAAAAAGATGCTGAGTCACGGAACTCTGGACGGCTGCGCCACGTCTGATGTTCGGCAAAAAAGAGAAATTTGAACGCTTGGAACGCACTTTACATTATCGCAGAAGGCGATCGTTGAAATCGTGTTGTTGATTTTTGAGCTTAAAGATTTGTTTAGAAAAAAAATATTCGAGAAGTCCGCACTGATGCGGTTTGCGCAGGTGAGTTATATGGCCTAGCTGGGAGGCAAATTATATGTAAAACTGAGCGGCAGTGCGCTAAAGCATAGCCTCCTCTATTCTGACAAAGCCTGGCATATAGCCACGAGACGCGGCCCGCCGAAAGTCAAAAGGTAGAGTGTCAGACAACGGATGAGAGGCGAGACTAAAGCCCCTTCATGTTTCAAAAGTAGCTCAAGGTGCGTCGATGCGCGAGGCACGTGCAACGTGCAGCCCTTGGGAAGATCATGGCGGCACAGCGCGCAGCCAACGTGAGCGCAGCACTGAGCTAGATTTCAGACGCCATGTTCTTCCCAAGAGTGGCGCGCGGCACGTGTCTCGAGCATTTCTACAACAATGAATGGCGCCACTTGTCCCAGGATAGAGGTGCTTTAGGAGAGGCCAGATCTGGGAGAGGCATGTATAACGGGCGCCCCGCTGATGCGAGACGCCGAAACACACTTGTCTCGAGCGATGTAATGTCCGCTCGTGCTCCTCGCGTTCCTCGCGCTACCGCTTATTTTCTAATTAGGAATTAAAACCCTCGGACTACCGCTTCTTTTCTCGTCGGGTTTGGAAACCATGTTTCGGGTCATCGCCGCTGATAAAGCTGTGCGCTGACTACAGGCTCTCCAAGAAACGCTCTGCGCTACCAGATCCTCGCGCTCCAAATCTGCGACAGGGCACTGTATGGCTGCGTCGTCCTTCCCCCACCTTTTCCTCCTGGGAGGCGGCCCTTTCCGGCACAGAGCTCGATGACCAGCAGCGACTGGTTGAGCGAGCCCGCCGAATCTGGGCGGCCAACGGAGCCCTGGACTAAGGGCACCGACCAGAGACCGCACGGTCCTTTCACTTTATCAATTAATGAAGTTTACGATGATGATGATGATGAACTGCCAGGCTTTGTGAGTATTAGCGCCGAGATGTTTCGGTGGCGCCCTCTTATGGTTTCCCTCCGTGACGTCACGACTGGGATTCGCCCTCGCCGTGACGTCACCAGTTGTTATTCTGGCTACTTACCATTGGGTGCAACGACGAGTTAGATGGTGTGCTTTAAAAACCACAGTAGAAGCTAGGAGCCATCGTAACCCGAAACTAACACCGTCAAAGTTGACAATCTGACAATGCTCATATGCCCATGGTTTGGCCAATCGTGGAATGCTGACCACAGCGACGCTTTTGGCCGCGCACATCGCTAATAAAGGAGGCTATGGCTAGAGTTACCACCTCGTGCAACGGGCGCAATTCTGTCCTGGCCGCGCGTTTTCGCGCCACTAGCGTTGCGCACGTTGAAACTGAACTTTAGCGTACATCTGCGCTTCCCACGTGCCACATATATCTCCAGGATTTACTTGTTTAGTAGTTGTCATTGTCCCCCAGATCGTAAACTTTCTGTGCACCCGGTCTGATGTTCCGAAGTGCACAGACCAACCCCTCGCGACGGTATCATACCTGATATGCTATTTTTTTTTTCTTTTTTTGCATGTGCACGTTGTCTTTGATACGTCCAGGCC